AAATGATGTCTGTTTTGTCATTCAAACTAGATTTATATGTTGGTATAAGATCCAGTTTTCTTTAAAAATACTCCTAGAGGGCATGGATCTCGGATAGCCTCTGACAACCTCGACCAACAGCTGTCTCGCTCGTCTGCCTTTGAAATGAAGCCTGACTAAACCGTTTCTATTGACAGGTGATGGATGAGACATGGCGCCTCAGAAGCTTCCATAAATTGGAACTCTTCAGCTTCCTAAGGTGATTCACCTAAAAAGATGGGTTCTCTGATTTCTCACTTCCGCTGATTTGAGCTCCAGGTCGATATCAAGGAAAAATTATTTTGTGGAATCATCTAGGTGTTAAATATGTTACTGCCCACGACAGCTCCTACAAATATATGACAATCGTATTGCAGAGAGTTCTTTATATCTTAGAATGTTCAGACAACGCTGAATTAAAACTGTCAGGATAAAAAAAAGACAAACACAGAAGAAACACACTAAAACTGATTCAATGCCATAGAGGTGTAAACTTTTATTGATTCATTCTTAACAAATTTTCATTTAGTTGTAAAATAAAACATTCATATTATTTTTGTTTACTCTAAAGAAAATTGCTGTGCGTTGTCCAAAATAGGGTAGGTAGACACTAAAACAATTATTATCCAAGTTCACGTAACAGTCGAGGTTAGATAAAAGCATTCAATTCAATTAGCGGACGTAATATTTTTTAACCATTTAGAAAGAATTGTTATTGTTACATGATGGCCAAGTTGAAGATATCTTACAGCTATAAGAAATACAGTGAGGACCATCAATCTAAAAAATAATTATATTCTATTTATTCACAAATTATGGGGAAAAAACTTTTTTTTTCCCAACAATGGAGATTCCTTTACGCTATTTAATAAAGCTTACAAATACTACAGGTAACTATTCTTTGTTGGTTTAATTTAAATGTAATTTTGAATGCTTCTAAATGCTTCTAAATGTTTCTGCAAACTTCGTGATCTCGGTAAAAGTTTCTGAATGTTTCTCACAATTCTTAAATGTTTCTGTTTTTTGTTTAAAAATGCTTCTTAATGCTTTCGAATGTTTTGGAATTTTATTGAATATTTCAGTATGTAATATTTCTGAATGCTTCTTAACTTTTCTTTACGCTTTTGTATGCTTCAAAAGCTTTCTGAAAATGATGGTGTTTCTAAATGTTTCTACATGTTTTCGAATCTTTTTTACATTTCTGAATGTTTCTGAATCCTATTTTTTTAATATGTAGTGAATTTTTTTCCTTACTTTGCTGTTATGTATACATTGATAAAAGATATAAAATAGTTATATGTTACGTTTATACCAATGACCCAGGCCAATAGACTGAAGTCACATGGCTCTCTAGTTTGCAATTTTGCCAATGTTTGTTTTGAATTCCTGTAGTAAAAGTAAAGTTTCCCTTTCAGGCCATGCGATCTCTAGGGGAGATGATGTAAAAGTGATATTTCTGTGGCCCAAGGTCAACGAGAATGTCATGTGACCAGCACAACGACCACCCGTCTTATATTTTCCCCAACTAATGCCAGGACCCATTAGAGCTTGATTGACTTCAGGCACCTAAAGATCCCTTAATAAGCCCAGTCTTCACCAGGATTCGAACCCTGGACACTCAGTTTAATTGATGTGCATACTTTTTAATTATCTACTTTATGTGTGTTATTCGTTTTCTAATCATAAAAGTTGTACAGTTAAGTAATTCAAGAAACAGAATATTTGTATATACACATTTCAATGATAAATATTTTTTTTTAAATTTATATTTTGCAATAAAATAAAAGGCTTAAATTACATGATACATTTAGAAAAATAATGTGATAAACTTTATATATAAATATTCACACACGAAGTAGCGTTTAGTACACATTAGAAATAGCATTGATAATAATTTGATCACAAAACAACAAGTATGTAGATGTACAACATTCGAAACAGTCAAAACATCACCAGGTGAAACGCCCCTGCTTAAAAAGAATGTAACAAGTGTGACCCAGAAACGTACATAATAAACTAGAGCTGAGAAACGGTTGAAAAAAATATAAAAAAACATTAAACAAGAATATTAAGATATATTTACACACTGGGATAGATGTTTGGTTTGGTTTTTTATGTGCAGAAACAAACTGGATTAAGTGATATGAGAAAGAGAAAGTAGGGCCTATAGCTCACATATTTTTAATTAGTTATATTTGTAACATATTTTCAAGAGCTTAGAATGAAACTGAGTTTTACTTCTCAATAATTCACAATAAATAAAACTCCTGGATTCGGTAAATTATTTTCTAATATTTGTTTTTTGTTTCTCTGTGTATTTAACTCAATGTTTGATTAGAATAAGCTCAAATGTGTTTAAAATCTGTATAATGGAAATAAGGGCTAGCATAAAATTAGGTACTTATTTCTTTGCAATTTGATTTATAAAACAATATAAGGAGTTGTTTTTTTTATTAAACTTTGATGTATTCATACATTAAGTCACCTAATCTAGTACATGTAATGAAAGGTCTAAGAACAATAATGACCTGCATTACCAATTGCACACTTATCGGCTATGGTCGCAGTTGAAAATTTGCACAATTATCTAAAAAAAAAAAAAATTTGCACAATTATTCATTGTTAGGCAATTAGTTAAATAAATTATGGTTAGTAATTACGATTTTTAATAACAAAATAAATCTTACAAGCATTAAAAGATATGGCTATAATCAAGAGTTTTCACTTGGACTTAATGTAATTCCTTTCATAGTCTTTTTTCTATTTTAGGTTGCTTTCATGTCTCAAGATTGAATTGAGAGGAACAGATATTTGAAATATGTTTGTTTATATTGAACTATTGAAGATTAATTAAATATACATTAGGCTATGTAAAGTTTATATTGCTATTTGAAAAAAAAGATTTATTATTTAATACATTTAATATAAAGAAAGACAAATATTAATATTCATTTCTAGACTGTAGACCTAACATAACTGTTTGTCCATGGTGTAGTTCTAGTGTGATAATTATTTTTAGTGATAAATAAAACCAATGAAAAAAAAATCTCATTACACCATCCACAATAAATCATTCATATGTAGATATTAATATAAAATAATGAAAACATTTAACATTATCCAAAGCTTTGTTTAGTCTTCGCCAGTATACACAAATTAAAAAAAAAATACCAAGCATAATACGCGGTTTTCTTAAAGAAGCATAAATGTATTGAGGTTAGATCTTATATTAGATCAGTACTTCAAGGGAGAGTGAACAATATAGCTCCGACGAGAAACGTGAAAGTATGTTGATATTATGCATTTGACAAAGACAAATAATCTTTCAGGAGAAATTAAAATACAGAACTAGTAATATATGTACAGCAGACATGAATTTGAGCATAGCAAAAGAAAATGAGAGTCGGAAAAAATAACTGCATTCAATTCGTGACATTGTCATTCTGAATCATAGCACAACAGTAGACAGGGGCACTAACCTATTTTAATGATAGTCTCCCTTTGGCTAGTGCCTGGTTTAACAATACATCAATAGAGAAGAAATCCAATATAAATGTATGAATTGAAATAATAATACAATAAAATAAAATAGTCAAATAAAAAAGGCCCAATTTGGTTTTTTGATAACAAATGAACAAAGTATAACTCATCATTCCATGTTCATCTGAATAGTTTCCTGTATTGTCATCTTCATTTCGCGCTTTCAGTTTCTCTCTCTCTCTCTCTCTCTCTCTCACTCTGTTTCAAAATTAGCGCATCCGAATTACTTCTATAAAGTTTTTGATTTCAAAACTGATTGAGAATTTCTTATTAGTACGAACACTTTAAAGAATGCCGGGAAGATATTTGTACAAATGTAAAAAAAAAATCTGGTCAGAGTTTGAAAGAATTATTTTGTTTTAAAATTAAAAAGGAATTTTTTTTTTTAACATTCACGGGTCCAACACATCCATGGCACAGCAGACAGTATTGCACTTTGATCCCACACAAGTCACATGAGAAAGCACCTTCGTGAAAACAGCTGTGATTATCCCGAGCCAGCCATGTCAAATAACTTTCAAACTTCTACATCAACACACTAGGAATTCAGGGCCGGCCCTAGGCGAAGTGCATTCAGTGGCCCCTAATGCAATAGGGGAAAAAATTAACATTGAAATACTAAATTTATTTAAAACCTAGTGTACTCTAACAATAGCGTTGGTCACAGTTTTCACTATTTCTTCTCTAAAAACGTTGTTTTGAGTCTTGTGCGAGGCCCCTACCAGTTGGAGGCCCCCACCAGTTGAAGGCCCCTACCAGTTGGAGGCCCCAGGCAACTGCCTAGTTTAATCACTTCATATGTAACATTTTCTCACACCCGTTTCCCAGTCTACATTTAATAAGACTAAGCCCTAGAGGTCTAAAGAGGTGATCCTCTTCAAGTTAACATAGATCCAGATCTAATTGTGTACATAAATGTGCAGCCATGACTTAGGGAGTTTCCAAGTTTCTGAGATCCAACAAAAGGGATGGAAAACTCTTGGCTAGGACTTAACAGGAGCGTCACTGCGAGGGGTACACTTCATAGACATCTTTGTGACGCAATACATATGAATATAAGATAATGGATGACACAAAACCAAAACATGATAATTTATTAAAGACACCATGGGTTCACTATTGATGGATAGTTATTGAAACTGGTCATAGAGTGTGATCGATTGAACATTGCAACAAAACGCTATTCTCAGACATTTAGAAGATGAAGTTCATATATTGGATGTATAGTCTACGATTGGATGTAAGCAACGGTTTTTAAAAAAATGTACATCTTAATGAATATATTTTTTAAAATAGTACTAGGAAGTGTCTATGGTTAAACTAAGTTGTCTTCAAGAAACTGTCTATGATAGAGCTAAGATATCTTCAAGACACTTTCTATTTTTAAACTAAGATATTTCCAATACTGGTACTGGTACTTTGTTTATATCGTCTTCCCCCCCCCCCCCCCCCCCCCCCCGCAGGCTCCACTCAATTTGACACGGCATGGCCAGAGCATCAATCACGTGATCTAAAACTAAGTTGGCTATGCAATCAACCAAGCAGTTGATGTCAGGCTATACAAAGTCATTACAATAAGGGGACTGTACAACAGTATAAAGGCATGAGAGTAGCCATTCAAGTTTGTATCCATTATTTAACACCTCTTCCTTATTCATTACATTGTTATAGTACAAATAAATAGGACATGTATTGAAATGTACATTACAGTGACAAGGTTAAACAGAAAATAGATAATGATTTCTTCATGAAAGGAAATAAGATTACATTGATAAATCATTAAATATGATGTACAAGCAAATTATTGTTACAAAATTGTACACAGTCATTCATAGTATTCCAAGCGTATATCGAATTTCTGATTAAACAAACAACAGGTCAGTAAGGGCATTCTCGGACACTGCCAACTATAAAACACTATTTTCTGATCAAAATCTTCATTGTTTAGGATAATATTAGATATTTGTAGACAGTTTATCGACTCTCCAAAAGTTGATGTAAATGACTTTTAACATCCTTTAAATTTATGAAAAAGTTGTCTCTGAACACTCAATGAGAATGTCAATAATCCGAGATCTAAACAGCTGGACACCTACGTTTAAGAAAAGTGTTTCTTTTATCCTTTATAGTTTCAATGTCTTTGACTGGTCTAACCCTAACCCTAGCCTTAACCTTGAATTGTGCACTGGAATGGGAGTTTAACCTCTTCATCCAAAGAGCTTTTCTAACGGCAGTCTACACTCAAGAGTGACTACCTAAATCTGTCCAAGTTGATCAACTATGGTTTATTTATCCTTTGTCCTGGTAGTGTAACTCGTAGGAAGGATTTCGTGAAATCCTAGGAACACATACCACAGAGCCACAAGTCACCATGAAACAAAGGCTACAGGTCAGCCACCATAAGACAAAGGCTACAGGTCAGCCACCATAAGACAAGGGTTACAGGTCAGCCACCTCAAGACAAAGGCTACAGGCCAGCCACCATAAGACCAAAACGCGTTTTTCTATCCTGTCGCTTATTTTTTTTTTTATTATTTATTTATTAAAACCTATCGGCTTGAATGTTTCAATCAATTTCTCCCTTGTTGAAGATACAGTGTTAAGAAGTACTTGTTATTAGTATCTTCTTAACACTGCCAATCTTACTTGGCTACAAGGAGTTTTGATTTTGTGTGCCAGTGTCCGTGTACATTGCAAGCCTTCCAGATTCAGACCAATAAAAGGAATTAAGTTTTTCCGATGACGTTTTATTTATTTCTTAGCCCTTAGAGCTTAACTTTTCCACCTAATTCCTACCCCCCCCCCCCCTCCAAATTTGCTATCCGAAATTTCTCTACATTTCTAGCATGTGCTGGTTAAAAAGAAAAAAAAACATAACAATCATCTAAAACAGAATTATAGAGTGACTGCTGACATTTGGATAGGAAAGAAGAACAAAAAAATCTATTTGCGTTCAAGTGCAACAAAGGTAAGTATGATCTTTACGATTTTTGGGTCAGACGTATAAAACAATGTCGCATTTAATATATCTACGCTTACTTTTTTAAGGTATGTGAAGTCAGTGAGTATAGATCCCCCCCCATCCCAATAATAGCTTGCAATACCTGAATTTAATTACAACCTTCTAGACTAGAGCCTGTCTTTTGTTAGGTGATCAAAACGACCTGATAGAGTCATTATAGGTTTAAGTCAGTATTTTAAAAAATGTTTTTATTTCAATGAAATTGTATAAGTAATAAAACCTAAAGTGCCAATAATTAGTAAAAATAAGTAATACCAATTTTATAACTGTATTTATTATTATTTAAAAGTATCATGAACTATTCCTTTTTACCAGATGGAATCTGTGTCTATGTCAAAATTAAAATTAATTCCTATTTATTCGGGCTAACATTCTATTACTCCAACTAGCATGTGAAATAGTTAAATAGTATAAATTTATCAAACTTGATAGCAGCACTGTACTAAAACAGTTGAATCACTCTTTCTTTCACATCCGCAGCAACCGGGAATGAAAATGATGATGAAGGTTGTGCAAACAACCATGACTTAGCAATCTCGAATGCCTCGCAAAATGGACAGCACAAACTACAACTCTGAAACGAAATACAGAAATGGTTTTATTTAAAGCGATATATAATTACCTCAATTTTATGATAATAAGAAACTAAGGCTAATTAGTACTATGAAAACATAGTCATAGTCAGGGCTTTTTAATAGACTTATGTCTTCATAACGCCTGAGATCTAGTCTAACTATGACCTAGTTGATCCCTTCTGCATTCATAGCTCAAAACTAACATCGACCTTCCTACACATCTATTACAATGGAATTGAGTGGTGAATACGACTAAATATTTTCAAAAGTTGAATCTAATGACCCAACGTCCAGTTGTATGGTGGAGATCTGTGTTTAGTTCAAGTAACAAAATTACGAAATAAATATATTTTAATCCTTCGAGTGGAAATAATGAAAAGATAATGACACTATATATTAAGCAATAATAAATTTACAGTAGCTTACTTGACATGAAGCTTGAAGCTTATTTAATTTTTTTTATTTCGTATTGTACAAGGAAAAAATTGTACTTGATTAATGTGGTGGTGTAACTATGCAGAACGAAATAGATGGCCGCTATAAAGTTTGAAAGTAACAATAGATTATTGTAAAATCTTCTATTTTCATAAGCTCTTCCCTGGCACAGTGGTTAGTGTGCTGGCTTGAGGAGGCTTAAATAGGCTTGAGCCGTCGAGTTCGAATTCAGATCGTTCCAATAAAAAAAACAACAACATACAATTAAAAAGCAATCACGGTAACCTTCACCTAGGTATCCCTTCTTTCTCCTTTCTCAACTGGTCCAGACCATTGATAGGGTCGTAGCGTGTTGAGAAAGCTAACGGCATGAGATCCGCTTTACAATAATAATGATAATAGGCCTGTCTTCGAGTCCGAAGATTAATGAGGAATTCTCATTTCCCGTGGCTGCGCAGCCCCAGCTGTGACCTTCATATTTTGCCACATCCGGGGCAAGCATAACCATTGTCCGCAGGTGGTCGATTTAGATTTTCCTTGCGTCGTCTGCGTTTGTCCTCGGCAGCAGATTTTCTTTTGGTCTCAAATGTGTATCCGCGGCCTTCGTGAGTGACCTCCAGCTGTCTCGTTCCGACGCCTCATGCAGCCAGGTGCTCTCTTCTTTGTCAGACAAGGAAAGTTGACGCCTAATCTGGTTTTTGAACCGTTTCCGTGGGGCGCCTCTGTTACGTCGACCACCTTTTAGCTCACCAAAAAAGACTTCCTTTGGCATACGTTCGTCTCCCTAACGGGATACGTGCCCTGCCCAGTGTAGCTGTTTTAACGGTGGTTACAAATATTTCTAATAGCACACATTTGTTATTGTTAGCTTATATCTACTACAACTTTAAAAAATAACTGATCCGAAATTATTAATTCAATCTTAATATAAGCGCTGCTATTTTTAAAGTATTTCATTTTGTACAAAGCTTACAGCTCTGTCAGATACAAATTGTGTACATGTTTTGTCTCCCACTTTCCTTAGAGGAAGTTGAAATTTTACTCAGTTATTTATAGTCCATGACAATCCATGAATAAAAAAAATTACCCATTTAGTTGATCATTTAATAGTAATTCATTTATTTTGTTTTATAAAGAAAAGGGGAGTTAATCGTTGCAGTGTTGAGAGATATAGCAGGGATTTTTGTGGTTCTTTCCCTTGGATACGTTTTTTAAGGGCATTTTTTATTTTGTTTGATATGCGTTTATTTCAAACTTTTCTTAAATGTGACAGTTCCCGAATGAATCTCGACCAACCGTCAAGCCATTTATAGGATAGCGCCTAGCTACGATCTAAACTAGTGCAGAAGAGAGGCCTAAATGCTTAAATCTGGAAGTGGAATAGTAGAATGTGTCATGCTCGTAGTCTACTGTGACGTTAAGTAGCCAATGCACGGAATTGTGTATGGAATGATGATCGAACCTCTGATACAAAAATGCAATAGATAAAGCAGAAAGCAAGGTATATGTATGTATGTATGTCGCGCATAGAAATCAAAACCGTTTGACCACTCTTGATAAAACATGGCATGAATGTCCTTTGATCATGTCAAAGACAGTAGTGTATGTTTAATGCTCCTCCCACAACCGAAAATGGGTGGGGGCACAAAAATAATTATTAAAAAAAAGCTAAATTTATCTCTGTTAATGAAAGAGTATGTGTGGTAGTTCGGCTAAACCCGTTTTCGCAGTAGTTTATATTTGATATGAATGTAACGGCCTTAACGGGTAAACCAATTTTTTTGCAATCTACTTTTATTTTCGTGGCGAAATAAAAATACTTGAAAGGAGCGTTAGGTAAAGTTTGACATAGATCTACATCCAATCCACTACATTATAGTAATACACAAACTAAAGGCCCGCAGGCCGAGGGTAATATCCGGCTAGTTACTTCTAATTGAAAGGAGACTCACCGTCGCACAACATCTCAATGAGATTGTCCTCTATCGACCTCAGACCATCGTAGTCCGGCACCTGGAAGAGGTGCTGCTGGGGAGGGTAGGCGCACATGTCTCTCACCTCCGGCTGGGGCGGATCCTTGCTCACCACTATAATAAACACCTAAAAGAATATCAAAACATGCAGAGCTCAGATAGGCATGATAGGTATGATGTGTAAGTAATGACGCTCTGACTGTTTTAAAAGCCATAACAAAAGTCCCAAACCTAACTATAACAATAATTCAAATAAAAAGTCTAAATGCAACCACTAAACTGACTCTTGGCTTAACTCTATCCCACAATACTAAACTTAATTCATTACATAAACTATGTCTAACATTGTTTTAAACTCAAATCCCCAGTGCAAAGCCCTCAGTCTACTGGATCGCAAAAGTGGCCATCATTGAACCACGACGTACGAACTATGTAAACTCTAAATCTAAAACAGTTAATATACCGCGTTTTGTAAGCAGCTCTCAGTACTAAAAAGACTATGACTCGAATCTCGTATATCATTCACAGTCCTATTCAAAAGAAGCTAACTCGCTCACATACATTGTAAGTAAAAGTGCCTGGCCGCTAGAGCAGACTAATATTTTCCTTTTGGCCCTATGACAATTCAAGCTACTGATATCTATGTAGCAATGATCTCAGCCCATCTTCGAATAGTTAGGTAGCAATGATCTAATCATGCTACGTACAGCTAGGTAGCGATGTACAGTCAAGCATCTACTTAAAAATTAATTTCAAATTAGCATACAAACGGAGGCTCGTGGCTGAGTGGTAAGCGACTGGGAATTTTTTTTTATTTCGGGATCTTAAGTGCACTTCAGAGCTTTAAGAAAAAGCGGTTGGTTGGTCAGTGTGCTGCCTAGTTAAAAGTAGGCCACTGAAACAGATGACCTTTACATCATCTGCCCTATGGATCGCAAGGTCTGAGAATGGATGCAAATATAATAACAGCGTTAAAAAATTACTTATAATAGTCTACCAAAGAGTAACATAGTCTACCATAGAGTAACATAGTCTACCATAGAGTAACATAGTCTACCATAGAGTAACATAGTCTATCAAAGAGTAACATGTTTCTGGAAACAAAGACTATTTAGATAAAAGGAGGAGAGAGACTACTAAATATATAAGGGATCACATTTTCTTATACCATCCTTGCTAAGTCCCTGATCATTACACTGCCACTATTTCTGGGTAAAAAGTACTGCACTCTTGCAATGGATGACTAATAACTGATCAATGATCCGTGACCCAGGCTAATACAACAGGTAAATTGAATGAGCTCGTTGGGTACTGTGATGAGCTAGAGTACACACTATCTGTAGGAGACTGGCAGGGTGAATGGCAGGGTGGATACCCGATCTCCAAATTGTTTTCTTTGACATCTTAAAGTACAGTCAACATGCTAATGTGTTTTTTAGTCGGTCAATGTATTCTTCAATCATTAATGTCTTGCATAGCGATGACGTCAGAAGTTGCGAAATTTAAATTCTTTACTAGAGATGGAATATTTTCATACAGCAAAATTAACGAATTATCTGGTGTGAAAAAAATACAGAAGTATAGATTGGATATGATTTTCATTCTATTCTTATTAATTGTTTTATGTACTTTTATAACTACGAAATCAAATATCTAATCTCTGTGGCTTGCATCTCAAAGTAATTATTTTGTTGGCTACAGTGACCATTGAATACGACGTCCTTGACATTGTTTATCTATTTCACAATCTCTTAAACTTTCCTTGTTTTTCATTTTATTAAGTTTTTCTTTGAGTTCCATTATATC